CGCATCGACAGAACAAACGCATTGAAGCTATGATTGAAATGGAGAAGAAAACGGCCACTGATTTGGGTCTCAACGAAGATGACAATTAGTGCCACAAACCATCGCTCAACTCATGAAAATATCCATTCAAATACTTATGGTTTGAATAAAATGCACACATTTTCATAAAATTTATATTTTACTTTTGATAACAATAAATAAAATTATATGTCTTATAAATGTTAACAAATTCTACAATATATTAGCATTCATTATACCGTAATAAGAGTTATGTCTAAAAACATTTGACAAGAATATCAAAACTATGAGGGATTGGCGTATATTATATACCGGTAATAGATTCTCATTTGTTGACCAATAGTATAACTAATTTATAAAATTCAAAGCAAACACTTAACATATTGATTGTCACAAAAACAATTAAACTACTCATTAGTAAATATAACATAATATATAATTATTTCAAACTTTATTCGAATGGCACTCAAGTTATAAAATGTTATTTCAAAATAACTATTAAATAAGAGTATTGCAGACCAACCTTATAGTGAATTCAATTATAATGAACAGTACTGTATGTATTGTCATTTAATTGTGTAAAATGAGTTTATTTTGCCATAAATATACCCATTTCGCAAACAAATGACAATATACGTAATCACAGGGTTTGTAAATAGGTGAGTTTTATTTAATCATACCAATGGAAACAAATCTCAATCGGGTATACAGTATGAGCACTGACTGGTTCACTATAAATGGTTAGTCTGTTGTTGGGGTTAAATAAATGTAAAGCAATTTGACTGAACAGTAATATGCGAGAGAAACAAGTAATGAGTCGTAAATCAGACCATTTTGAAGATATTGTTCAACTCATTCATTAGGGTCTCGTGTCTATAGAGAATGCGAATCCCCGGCACATTCGTGCGCCTAATATCATTGCCGGCCACCCCTTCGGCCCTATAATTGGGTCCAATCCAGTGCTGCTTAAACTCGTGAGGAAAGCCCGACATTATGACACTATTGAGGGCCAACTCACACATATCACAACTGCTCAGTTTCCATACCTGAGCTGCGATAGAGTACTCTTCCATCAATGGTTCCTTCAAACATGAATCAAACATATAGTGAGTTAGACTTGAATGTGAGCAATGGTTGCGGACAAAGACATACTTTAGTGAAGTGGAACTGCAAGGGGTCGTCAGTAGAGAGTGAGACACAGAGACCGCGATATAAGAACTCAGGCAAAGGGTTTCTGTGATAATTGAGAAACAGACTGTTGTTGGAAAGCGGACTCATTGCGATCCCAATTTGTGCCAAATAGTAGAGATACTGAAGGACTGGCACTTTGCGTAGTGACAGTCCATGAGATATGTTTTCACTCAAAAGAAAGCCTCCGACTAAATGCTGAATATTTCCGGCTTCTCCGCAATGCGGACGCAATACGAATGTATTAAAGCCTCGCTCTCTATAATAATAAACACCGTATTAAACATAATTCACTTCAATGTGTAGACATTGCAAATTTGACTCACTTTCTAAAGTGGTTGAGAACACACATGTTTGCGTACATATAGTAGAGATAATAATTGCTAAATTGGATAACAAATAAACATTTGATAACATAAAGCATAAGCCAATCAATAATTGAATGCATACTATGGAGGGTTCTCCCCATCGGTCCATTTGGGAGGGAGTGGTATCTCTTTATCAAACAACGGGTTCTCATGTTTGGACTCGTCGTCCACTGAATCGAATCCAATGACATATTGAAGAAAGCAGTGGAGTTCCGGATGAGAGTTGGGATTACTTGTGGCCTCGAATAAGGGAAGGAACAGGTTTTCCAACATTTGCTCGAAGTTCTCAACCAATTTGTTGGCACGATATATATCGCTATTGGTTCCACATTAAGTCGACAACAAATGAATAAATGACATTAATTTCATAGCTATATAAACGATTGCAATGATATTTACTAAAGTCTTGGTATTTGGATAACCCATCGAACAGTATCTGAATAGACATTGTTCTTAAGCGCCCATTTGGCCAAAGTCTCCCATTCATCGCGCTTTCGACCATAAATCGACAGTCTGTTCAATTGGTAAGCCATTAGAAATGATAACAAATGTGTTGTTTAAATGTTACCTGAGCTCTGCCTGTTGGTACTTGGATTCCTCCAAATCCATCATCACTTCCTAAACACACAATGAGAGTGAGAGTTAACAATCAAATCAAACATTGAGAAGCAGTCAAAAGAGTGAAACCTTAAGAATCTCTGCATAATAGACGCCATGAATAAAGTTATCGGTTTTGAGGAATATCTCCCGGAGCCGACTCTCACCAATGGGATTGTATTTGGTGTTGAATTTGTCGAACCTGTGGAACGTGTTTCTGTCGGCGTGAACGTCCAACATATCAACGCTCAGGTCATAGGATGTGAGTTGCAGTAAATTGAACACCTGTTCCAATGTCAGTGCTTTGCC